GTTTTTTCAGTTTTCTGGTGGGGATAGAGGGTGAACACCATGCCGGAACTACAAAATAGCGCGTGGGCAAAGGAAAAAAACACACTGGTCTAGGCAGCAGACAACAGCTGCTTTGCCACCTCTGGCCAGAGGTGGACAGCTGGACCTTGTGATTGTTTCTTGGTGGGCAACGTGGGGTGAGGCCATTCTGCAATAGGCTTCCAATGCAATTCACGGGGTTGGTTATCACTGACAAAGCCCTACATTGCGCAGAACCAGGTTATCTGCGGGGACTCCTTACTCCCAATTATTCTGCTCATCCCTTGTGGCCCAGTGGGGCAGGCATGCTTTGGGTCCCCTCGCTGGGACAATGCCAGGAGGCACAACTTTTTGTCGCATTTCCTGCCCTCTGGAATCTCACACACACGCACACACAAAAGATACAGCTGGCCCCAGCTCTACTGGCCTTCAGAAAGGCAGTGACAATCTCTAGAGAGGGAGTTCCTGGTTGCCTAAAGTTTTGGATTTTAACTGAAGGAGTTTGCCACGTTTTAGTTTTTCGATCTGTCGCACATTGTCCGAGCTGGGCAGCCCTATACATTTTTCAAATGAACACATTAAAGAATCTGACAGGCTGTTTCCCCTTCTTGTCGGGGTGACCAAAGGCTGCCTGGGCTAAGTGGAAAACTTGCACGGTGCGTGAATCTTTGGTACGTTTCCATGACATGGTACAGAGGTTGGCGATACTGTGTCCGAAACAGGCCTGGTGTCCTCCCTATCTATCTATTTATTTAGTATTTATTTATTTATTTATATTTCAACCGTCGTCACCGCCCATCTCACCCCAGAGCAACTCTGGGTGGTTTACAGTAGAACAAGAATAAATACTAATTAAAATGCAATTAAAATACAGTAAAAAACCATGTTCCTATGTAAATAATGTCTTCCAAGATACTGATGGTAAATAAAGGTTATTAAGCTACAGGAGCATCTTCAGGGCGCTTTAACTCCAAAAAAAAAGTGTTTTCAACTCAAAAACAGATTTCCCTGAGCCCACGCAGCTACTGCTGAGCCTGGGAAAAGACCTACGAAGCGCTGATCAGTCCTTAAGTCAGATGCATTTGGTTGACCGAGCTGCCAGGAGATGCTCAGGGCTGCACACCCACCTCCTTGCACTCCGAATGACCTCATGGCATGGAGTCCAAAGGGCTGTCCAGCCCTGCAAGTCAACTGCAACCGATGCCCGGGTCTTTGTTACCTCTCCACATTATTAACCCACGGAGTTCAACACGTTCCCTGGATTCGGCCAACGTCCTTCCAACTTTGTCCCAGGAACAGCAAGGGCTGATACGGAGTAGCTGCATTTTGGATGAAGCTAGAACTTTCCAAAGGTCCATGCCCAACCTAGGAACCCTGGTAGATTCCACTCCATTCTGGTTAAAGCAGCTTCTTCTGGAACAGCTCTTCTTAACTCTAGAGCAGTGCTTCTCAACCTTGGCGACTTTAAGACATGTGGACTTCTGGCTGGAGGATTCTGGGAGTTGAAGTCCACATGTCCTAAAGTCACCAAGGTTGAGAAGCACCGCTCTAGAGTTTTGACCATGGTAGTGAGATTTACAGAAGCTTTTGTCCAATTAAGAAAGATGTGTGATAAATGCCACAAAGCAGTGATCTCCTTGTCCAAAAGACGCATGCCGGCCCCTTATCTATCGCAGCAATGCTGTTGGCATCACGTTGGTGTTTGGACTTGAAGCTCAGAATGGCACGGTGGACATACCTTTCAACGTCTCTCCTGCAGCCTGATGTTCCACACAACGTTTGCCTTGCTCGGCTGTTTCTTCCCCTCTTTTGAAAACAAGCTGGGGCTTTCCACATCGAAGCATGTTTTTTTTTCATTTATCATCATCATCATCATCACCCTTTCCAGATTTGATGGAGTGCTGGATCAAAGGCCTGAGCGTGGTTTTTGTGCAAATTGCTTCAGCAATAGCTCTCCACGCTTCACTGGAAATGCTGTACGAATATTATTTTTGAAGCAGTGCGGGAAATTCCCTAGCTCGTTGACCCGTGGCACACCATTCCTCGGTCTGGTTCCTTCTTCTCCGGTTGAGCTTCAATCCCCTAGCCAGCCTGCAGCTGGGGATGATGGGAGTTGAAGCCCAGCACGTCTGGAAGGCCCCAGTTCCAGGCAACGTTGCTTGGGGCCTGGGGATTTTTCTCCCCAAAATGTTAATGCTTGGGTTATTCCCCCACTACGCCTGTCCCAACCTCTCTCATGCCCTTTTGTGTTCCTTCCCTCTCCCAGGGAGATTGTGACCATGAAGGAGAAGAGCAAATATAAGTTTGCACCAGCTGGGCTGCCTCAAGAGTTCGGCTCCTTTTTTGAAGGTATGCATGGCAGTATCACTCATTCCTGTCTTTCTCTCTCTCCCCCTGCAAAAAAAAATCTGCCTGTTTCTTCTTGGGAATAACACTTTTGTAGCCCCCCAGTTCATCTTCAAACAGCTGCTCCCCTCTTGAAAAAGCCAAGGGTTTATGTCTGCAACCCCTCACCAAAAAAAAAAGGTGATTAATGGGCAATTCATCTGCATTCAGAGACCTTTTTGGGGGGGTTTTTCCCCACCTGGGGTGAGAAGACCTCCTCCCTGGCTTTTCAGCCCCTCTCTTCTCCCGCTGGGGCATTAATGAAAGCCACATATCCGTTTGAAAGGAGCGGGCAATAAATGGAAAAGCCACCGATGCTTTCGTAGGTTAGAAGAGCTACTCCGAGCGGGTGAATAATGCTTGCAAGAAGTTAAGGGGGAAGATGTGATGGCATTGTCCTTCCAAGGGTTAAAGTGGGGCAACCAGATCGGAGCTGCAAGGACTTAGTGGGGAAGCATCAAGGAACCCCGAATTCTTTCTCTCTCTGCTTCCACTCGTGGTCCTCTGGAGTTTTGCAACCCAGATTTGGTAACCCTAATTCAGTGTTTCTCAACCTTGGCCGCTTTAAGATGTGTGGACATGGCTGGCTGGGGGATTCTGGGAGTTGAAGTCCACACATCTTAAAGCGGCCAAGGTTGAGAAACACAGTTCTAATTAAAGGACTACTATCTGTTCCCACTCTCCCACTCGTTTAAATTTGATTTTTCTCTTCCGTTGCTTCAATTGATCCTCTGGGATGCTGAAAATCTGGCAGCCGGGACGTGTGAGTTAAAGATCTGCGCAAGGAAATCCTTCGTGCTGAGAATGCATCTTCTCAGCTAATTAGATGCTTTTTAAGAAAAAAAAAAACAGAGGATGGGGTAGATTTCCAGAAACCATTGGTGCTTTTAAGACTAATTGCCTCTCTGTCGGGGATTTTGGGGGCTTTTCTGCCAGATGTCTGTTAACTGAGAACCACTTGAAGAGGTCGGATTTAACAGCATCTGGGGATTTTTGGAGCTCTATTTGCAGGTTGCTCGCGTTGCATCATTTCTGGTGCCCCATGGTTTCTGCCAGCTGGTCTGGCCAGCTTAGGGTATCCCCAACCGGCTGCCTCGGTTCACTGGTTTGCATCTTTTGCTAAAAAAGGCCGTCTGATTCTCAGAAGCTCCCTCCCCTTCTTCACCAACCTGTTGACCTTTGAATCGGTTGGACTACAGTTCCCATCTTCCCAGCCAGCTGACTCGGCAGGAAAGCATCTTTAAAGGGGGAACTTGGCTGACCCTGGAAGATGCAAAAGGAAACCAGGAAGGAGGAGGGAGAAATAACAGATAATCACAGCCTGGGTAGAAGACTTAACTCTTGAAAGACTTAAAAAGTCTTCACTTTTTAAGGCCAAGTCTCTTCCCCCAAACAGGCACAGTTTATGTTAGGGAACTTTAAACACTTCCCCCTCTTTATTTTTTTTTTAATTGTCTCAGCAGGTAGGAAGACTTAGTTGATCTTAACTAATCTCCCAAAAGCCAGATGAGGTTGAGTCAGGTTAATGTTTGGAGACGGCCAGAGGGAGAAGTTTTTAAAAAAAAATTCCAGAAAAAGGCGAAAAGCATCCATCTGGCTGTCCAGAAACTACATGGAGGTGTTCTTGAAATTAGCAAGCATCAGCTTTTGACTCCAAGGAGACTTTTTTGCAATACTGAGAGTAAACTTTAGCTGGAAGCAAAGACATTGCAGACCTGTTTTTAAAGTTAAGAAAGATGCAGCTGTCAGGAGAGAGTTTTAGAGGTTCGGGCAAGGCGGATGCTGCCAGCGTGGGACGAACGTTGATTGAAATCAGGTCACTTTCCAATAAACAGCCAGCACTGAGTGGTGAACACTTCCTTGAAGTGTCCAGCCAGAGCACGTTTGAGAAATCCCGGGAACAGAAAAGAACTCGCTCAGCCCACATTTCCAACCAGTCCCACCTGAGAAATTCAGCTAAAAATGAGTGATGCGCCCCAATATGGCGAGAAGAGCATTCATGGGGAGCCCACAACTCTCCTTGAATTATGGTTTCTCCCTAGAATGAATTAAAGGGAGCTGAAATCTTGGATTGTGATGGCAGTCCCTGGAATTGGAATGAAAAAGTACACACATTTTAAGACGTGTGGACTTCATGCTGGCTGGGGAATTCTGGGAATTGAGGTCCACCCAACTTAAAGTAGCTACCGTTGAGGAACACTGCGCTAGAGTGTTCTTCAACAGTCCTGGTTGGGAATGATGGGGGCTGATGTCCGCTGCATCTGGAGGGCACCTGTGTGGCAGGGTAGAGCCAGGAACCTTGCTTAATATTTTTGGAGAAGATGCGGCTGCTGTGGGCGCGAGGCAAAGGGGGCATGGCCATCTAGCCAAGTTGGACGGGATGAGGAGGGTCTTGTGTTCAGGGGAACTTCTGGAGGGCTTGATCCCAGAAGGTTAATAGAAGGGAGGCCGCTGTGCTGAGGACCTCAAGATAAGCTCTCAGGTTTGGCTCCTTCTCTAACCTGGAGGCCCTTTTCACCCAGCCTGGAAGCGAGTCATTTTGGGGCACCTCCCTTTGCAACTCCAGAAGAGAGCTAAGAGTGGGCACACAGAGCAGAAAGTCAGATCTCTTCCCTTGCCCTCTGGTCTGATCGCCTGGTCAGGGTGGCTGCGGGTGGGTGCTCCATCCTCAGCGCACAAGACTCCCTTTGACCCCTCTTTCCCCCTCCCTGGCTAGAGTGCTTCGAAGAGGGCGAGCAGCTCCCAGAACCCCTTCAGTTGCGGCTGATCCACCTCTTTGGGGCCATTCTCTCCGGATCCAAGGTAGGTCTTCCTCCCCGTGGACCTCTGTGTTCAAAAGCGTCAGGGAAGAGAACCATGGGATCCTAGGGTTGACAGGGACCGTAGGGGTCACTTAGGGCAACCCCCTGCTCGGTGCAGGATCCACTCGAGCAGCAGTTCTCAAACATTTTGGCCTCAGGACCACTTTACATTCTTAAAAACGATTGAGGACTCCAAAGAACTTTGGTTTAGGTGGGTTATATCTATCAATATTGACCACAGTGTTTCTCAACCTTGGCCATTTTAAGACGTGTGGACTTCAACTCCCAGAATTCCCCAGCCAGGTATGCTGGCT